CTCACGCCATCCCTCCTGGTGGTTCCTGATGGGGTGGCTACCTGTCCATGTGCTGCTGTCCACAGGTGGAAGGGCACATGCTCGCCCTGACGGTTTCCTTTAATTCCCACCACTAACTCATTCTCCTGCTACTTCCCAGCCTCCTGGAAGAACAAAAAGAGCGAACTCAGCTCATTCTTTCTGCCACACGACACAAGACATGGCCAGGGTACCACCTATGGTAGCTTCTTTTAGAAGAGGCTGTGGAGGCATCTAGTAAAGACTGAGAAATGGCCAACTACTACCTAGGTCTGGGAAGAAATGCTGGGCCACTAGAAACCATTTGGGCATTAGTTTGGACTCCACCTAAAGAGTCCAAAAATTTACTGCCTAAATTCTCAAAACCCAAACATGTACCTTTTAGTGTGTGTACGTTTATTTGCTGCACCCGAGTCAAATGAAGCATGACGTTTATGTGAGTTTAAGTCTTCTGCCAAAATAACAGAAAACTTGTTAGTTCCAAATATTCTCATCAAGCTACAGTGTCAGGTTAACGGGGGAGGCTCCCCGCCTGAGGCAGTGAGACGCCAGGGTCAGGCGTGGGGAATTCTACGAGCCCACCATGGATCTTTGCCTCATGTACACAGTTGAGTACACACATTGCAAGAACTCAAAAGACAATCTGTGACTGATTCAAGGAGTTTTCAAGAGGTGCTGTGATGCCAAAGTCTCCAAAGCCAGTTAATTCACGTGAACCTAAGGGGTGAAGAGCAGCAGGGTATAAGCATCTGGAACGCTCCCTTCCCAATTTTTCTTCTAATCTGCCACGCTGGGCACAGAATTTCAACTGCAAGCCCAGAGCCTTGGGGTTTAGGCTGACTTGTCTTCCCTGGGAGATAAGAGAGTTTGGGAAAATCACTGTTCTCCTCTGATGCTTTGTGTGCCCTATAGCGTAAATTCAGTGTATTCTAGCATCCAGCCTGCCTAGGCCTGCTGTGAGATCAGACAGAACAACTTTTGTGAAAGCACCGTGCTCATGGCTTTCCTCTGCACTAAAGGCAGCCCTGTGAGAATTCTCCTTGCCTGTAGGCCAAATACCTAAGATCCCAGCTGAGAATTTCCTTCCCTGGGGAGAGGTAAACTAGAGCCCAGCTCCGCTGCTAGTTCCTATCTGGGACCAAAAAATTCTGCCACTTGCTGCCAAAAACCCGAACTAAAACTAAAAGAACTAAAATAAAATGTTAACAGCAGCTTGTAACGAAAGTTAAGTTCCTACCACTAGAACAGCATTGGTGTTAAAGTGTTCCAACACGAGAGGTTTTCTGATGTGCTTGGGTTGTCAAAAATACAGTATTTCCACTGTCAGTTCTGAATGGAAGCTTGAACTGAAAGGCAAATAAATGTAATTAGTTAAAAGCAAAAACAAACAAACAAACAAACCCCCCCCCACAAAAAACAAACAAACAAACAAAACAAAAAACAGGGATGGTGGTGGGTCACTGCCTCTGCTGCTGATGCCCCAGTGGGAAACTGAGGGGTGGCAGGACCCAGAGCTCGTTGCTGATGCCACTCTACAGGTTGCCCAGGAGCTGGTAGCTACAGAAATATATATCCAAGAATGTCAAAAGAATTTCTTTTGGTACCCACATCTCTATAATTTTGTAACTGCTTACTTAATGCTGGGCAAGGAATTCCAGTACAAATCTCCTTACAACTGCCAAAAATATAAGTTGACAAATCCCTTTAGTTATATGATGCCAGTGCAAGAACGTCCAACTGAGGATACAAAAACTGGCCACATGGACACAGCTGAGAGCATCACTGATGGTCTAGCTGATCAAAGTCTTGCTCGGGGGCTGCACCTCTGTCCAGAAATTGCGACATCAATTTCTCCTGCTCTTGGCTGTAGGGTCCCAGGATTTCGTGGCTACGAGATGGCCTGAAACTGAGTTTCTGGATATGCCATGGCTGCAGAACTCCAACCACTTGCAGGTGTTTCAGGGCTGCGGTTCACGCTTCAACACACACCATTACAGGGCAAGACTGATCTTCGGCAGCTCACTGGCCAAGAAGCCGTAAGTAGTGGCCCACAAGTGAGGTGTGTACCTGCGAAAACTTTTAGATGTTAGCATCTATCACTGTGCACTTGACCTGCCGGTCTTGGGAGGTCTTCAATCAGGGATTCTTTTTACTTCTTGGTAGTTCTACGTAAGTCAACCTTCCAGTCCTACGCACCGTTCTCTTCTTTCATTGGAACTAAGTTTTCCCTGGTTCAGGGTGATTCTGTCTTCGTCGTTCTTCAGACTCTGCAAGACCATACTTAGAGTAAAAACTATGGCAGACCAAGTTATAATTAAAACATCGACAACATCAAAACTGCTGTGCACATCATTCCAGGCCTGAGATCGATATCAGAGACATAAAAACCTAATCTGATAAAACCTCAGCAGTGAGAGGAGATAGATGCCCATTTATTTTAAAAAGCTAGGTTTATTCACGCCTTCACCCCGATTTTTAATCCAGTACAACGGCCAGTGTTTTGGATCTCTCTAAAGAGAAAACTGAAGGGCATCACAGACTTGACCCACCAGGCACCAAACACAAATCCTAACTCCTTGAGGCAGGCACTTTCTTTTTCTACAAGTGTCAACACAGTAGGCAAGTGTCATACTCTTTGTTGTCAAAACGGCTTTTCTTTTACTCCAATTCTCTATTACTTTATAAGAAATGTTAATAAGGCTAAACAGACATTAATTAAGCTAATACTTTAAAAACGTCATCATCTGATGTAGCAGCACTCCTAGCACTCGCATGTGAAGTGCTGCTTCCATGATGAGCACTGCTGAACTCTTAGCACCTAAAGACTCAGTACCTCTCACAGCTTGACCACTGAGACACTCCAGACCACCGTGGGGCTCCCAACGCCCAGCCTTCTTTCTACCCAGTGGGTGCATAAAATGTCAGGTTTTTGAGTCCCAAAAGTTTAGAATTCAACTTTAAGGACCTTCTTATGCTGAAGCTTCACAAAGCCAAGCAGTAGCAGCCCGAGGGACCTCGGGCGTTCAAAGACTTCAGTGTGTCACGTTGGAAATGTTTCCCAAACCCCAAAGGCTGGAAATGGTATGCATCGGCTAACTCTAAAGCAGTGTTGGTCCCACAGAACTTTCTGTGATCTTGGAAATGTTCTATAAATTTATGTAGTCCAACATGCTAGCCATTAGTCGTATGTGGCAAACTGAACATTTGAGATATAGTTAGCATGACTGATAAACTGAATTTTTAATTTTAATCAAGTTAAAATTAAACAGCCACAAATGGCTAGTGGTAACTATATTGAACAGTACAGCTCTAAAGCATCAAGGCTTTCAGTAACATGACAACTTTTGGACAAACTAAAGAGGCACGCAATAAATATTTGCCGTCCTTGATAACCTCTATCCACCCTCCCTTCTAGCTCTTCTCAAGTAAGAACAAACACAGAACTAAAACAGCAACAATAAAAAAGCCCACATGACTTTTTACAGCAATCTCCCTTGAATAAAACTAGTAATTTTTAATATATACGAGTGGCATAGTCAAAGATGAAAATAAACTAAAGCCAGCACAACAAAGAATTAGAAATAAGCATACTAGAAGTTATTTATGTTTAATGCTTAAAAGTCTGAATGCACAAACAATCTACCATTATAGAAGTACTGGTGGTCAATACAATGCATTAGAACTATGTACAATGCACAGTTTAGTATCAAAATCTTTCTACACTGTAGAGTTTTACGAAACTGTTAAAGACATCAAACACTAAGCACTTAAGACACCATTTGTTTTTTCCTGCTACCACATTAGGAACGTCAATGGACAATCCATTTCAACTTGCAGCATCCATCCATTTCTAGTATGAAATTAAGTAATTTTCTACTTATACAATAAAGTTTATCTACACAGTTCTCTTGATTTTGATCCATAGCAGCAAAGGCACTGTACATCAGCAGATCCACAGACTTAAAAGATTTTTAAAGCATTCAAACAAAAAATAATAATAAAAAAAAGGAGTCACATATCATAGTTTAACAGCAACAACAACAACATAAAAGATAACAACAATGTTTCTGGCACAATGGCACAGCCTGTGTCCATTTCAGGGACATCCAGCTAAGACATGGAAAGAACCGGAGGTAAAGAAAGCAAGTTCTCATCCCAGGTGAGAGTCCATTCTTTCTGATTTTCAGAGGGAGGTCCCTGCAAATCCTCCTCTGCTCCTTGTCTTGTAAAAGACTTGACTTGCACAGTGGGAGGAATCCTCCCCTGAATCTGTGCAGTTCCCAAAGAACATGCCAAAAAATAACCCATCATTTCTCGTGTTGCCAAAACTGCCCAAAGGTATACATCTCCCTCTGCAAAGAAATGTGGCAAAAATACCCAGAAGGGATTAAGTTCTCCCTTTGAGGCCAAATTTAATTTGTTCATCTGTCTATAATACAATAAAAAAAGGGAATTAAAAACATATTACAAAGACACTTGTCAACAAGTCAAAAAAAGAAAAAAAGAAAAAGTCCAATTACTTTTATCGAATATAATCTAAAGCTATAGAAATATTGGTTAAAGTTGTCCAAATAGACTCAAATGAATATGACATGGTCTGTCACCTTCTAATTGTTCAAATTTCCAAACATCTTTAAAATAAGTAAAAAACAAAAACATCTAACAACACAGCAACATATTGCTTCCATATGTAATTATACATTTCACATCTCTATACAGTCATTAGTCTACATTTAGTGACATTTTTAATCAGTTATTTTAAACCTTCCTTTCCCCTCCTTTGCCAAAAAAAGGGGGGGAGGGGTATCAAATACAACGCATCTTCATTATCAATGCAGGAGCAGACAGCTTTATTTAGTCAGTCACTGTTAGAAAGCCTTCTTTAAACAAAATAAATATATTACAGATATAATACATAATTAAAGATTCCTTTCACTGTTCAGTAGGGTTTATCCATGTTCTTCCGAGTAGATAGCTGAAGATTTGGTATCACAGGTTCTTAACGAGTATTCACAATTCAACAGCAGGAAGGAAGTGGGGGAAGGCGGGGACTGAGCTCCACGACTGCAATGAGTACTGGAAATCCTTGGTTTCGGATGCGGGGGAACAGAAGGATGACAGAACAAAGTGCTACAAGGAGGAGTCCAGTTCGCATGAAGATTTGTCCTTAATAAATAACTTCATAAACCGTGGCCTTCTTATCCCCAGAGCCAGTGACAATGTATTTGTCATCCACAGAAATGTCACAGCTGAGCACCGATGAGGATTCTTTGGACTGGGAAAGAGACACACGAACACGTTAAAGACTGAAAGAAAACCCATGAACACTGAGAGGCAGGCCTGGAGGATCTGGAGCAAAAAGAAGCATAACATGTTCCCTTGACCAAAACAGGAGCCCAAGTGAGGAAAGGCAGTCCCGGACGCTGATGAAGGAAGGCTCTACTTCAAATCCCAGTCTCCAGCTAAGAGCACAGGGTTCTCAGTGTGAAAACCCTCGCCTTCACTCGGATGGCTTGGATGTAGACGGAGCTGCAGAACGCTAGACACGTCACTTAACCTGTCTTGGCCCTCACCGTCCTTAAACGAGGTAATTAGGTAAAGACAGCTTACCTGTCTGCCACGACAGAAGGCGGCCTTGGAGTCCAGGTGAGCTAATAGTGGGGAACCGTATTGAAAATACTATAGTTTTTGAGATAGGGAATGTAAAAATATTTCTAACGTAAAACCTCGTTGTCCCCTATGCTAAAATAGAATATAAATGTGCGTGGGGAGGAGTTCAATAGTTAGGAATAAAAATGTTACCACTCTTATTAGAGCTCCAAATACCATGTTCAACTACACCCACTGCGAAGCAGTCACGGTTAACTTTTAACTAAACTGTGCTAAACAAACAAACAAACGAACCCCACAGGATTTTAACTGGGACTTTGAACAGTTAAAAAATAAACGTTTGACACGCAGATGCTAACCTACTACCAGTGTTTCTCAAACTTTTGGAACGCAACCTGTAATAAATACATTTTACTTCACAACCCAGAGACCTCGAGACGTAATTTTACTTCATAACCCAGAGAAACGAGACATAATACTTATACTCACTACAAAAAATATACTCTTAACATTTTTTATTTCATTTTTTAAAAAAGTGCTGGTTGGGACCATGTAAAAGGTTGTGATCGACAATACAAAAACCACTGCATTACATTACAAACTTCGTGACAGTAAGGATCTGCTATTTTTGTCCTATTATCTTGCACAGTACTTTCACTCAATATATGCAGTTTTAGATTCAAATGGATTAATCTCCTCTACGACTTAGTACCACATGGTCAAGAAAACTGCAACGCTGTTATGTTATTCCTAAAAACAGACCACCACCTAGAAAATAACATCCTAAATACAGAAGGTTAAAAAGAAAATCTTCTATAACTTGCCTATGAAATTCTCAGCTACTAGCAGGAGAGAAGAGAGAGATCGGTACGCGAGCGTGTATCATGCCTACAATCTAGTTCTCCTGCAAATAATTCCACAAACTATACAAAGTACCACTGAGTTAATAAGAATAAAAGTTCATAAAATTAATCAAGATTTATTACACTTTTCCACAGCACTCTTCTGGGGGCGGGAAATCAGGAATAACAACACGAATGAATATTCAAGCAACATGCTCAAATTTTAAACAAAAATTTTAAAAGCCATAATTAAAATTAAATAAATAAATAAATTTCACAGAAGACATGAAACTGCTACTCTAACATGTAAAAAGGGATGGGGCGTGAAGAGCTAGTTAGGGCGACGGGCACGGCACCTTGGCTCTGAGCTCAGAGAGAACTGGACACAACTCCTGGCTGCACGGCTTGCAGCTGTGACCCTAGTCTCCCCCTCAGGCTCAGTTTTCTCCTCTGTGCGATGGGAGTGACACTAGCTCCTACCTCCTAGGACACGTCCGTGCGTCATTAACCTGTGAGAAGGCACAGAGAACCATGCAGTGAGCGCGCAGGGGGTGAAGGCTACACAAGCGAAGTGTTACCTGGAATATACTGGCCCCGTAAGGTGTTCTCCAGGCATTCAGAAGGTTGTCCTTTCCCGTGCTTACAAACCATTTGCCTATAGGAACAGGGTTTCAAAAAAGGTAGTGTTTATTCCTTTGTCAGAGTGCCGAGACTTGTGTTACAGAGCATCAAACGATACACAGAAAACTCACCTAATCTAATCTGCAACAAATAAGAGTTTCTTTTCATTGGAAAAATAAAGCCCACTCTCCTAGATTTAATGAGTCATTTATACTTAGGACAAGGATAAAGTGGATAAACTGCAGAAAATTACATGGTATTTGGGAAGTAGGCATGTGTGTGAGGAAGTAATATAACTCCGAAGAGGGACACGTCAATGAACTAAAGACCGGACTTGAATCAGGAGGAAGGAGGAATGACAGGCAGTGGACGCCAGGGGCCTGCTTACCACAATGGGCGAACTTGAGGGACAGGACGCAGCTCTCGTGGAGATGGAGCTGGTACTTGTCGGGCTTGGTGACGTGCAGCACCTCCACGTTGCTGTTCTCCATCCCCACCGCCAGCCACTCTCCAGTTGGGCAGTATCCCAGGGAAAAGATCTAGAATTAAAATAGTTGATGGTGATGGTGGCTATAGAGGACACACTTCCTTTAAAGGGGAGGCACTGCTTCCTCTGGGGATACTAATTAAATAATGAAGGAAATCAAGATAATGTGAATTGTACGGGAAGAAATCAAAGTCAAAGGTGTGATCCCAAGTAATGAGTCAGATCTCCACAATCTAACTTACTAATCACTTGTGTGAAATTCAAAGATCTATAGAGTAATGGTCATTGAAATAAAAACCTGCTAAAAGCCTGTAATAAATGAAAGTTTTTCTGTCCTTCAGTAAAATGTATACTGTTGTATTGTGAAAGAAAACAACAAAATTTTTAGTTATCTAATTCAGTCAAAAGTGACTCTGTCACACGGTCAATGAATTGCCGCTGAAGTCTCTCATGTATTTCACAAAACCAGGCCTCCAAAATGTCACGAGCACGAGTGCACACCTGGGAGGTGAAGTCGTGCTGCTGCAGCTGCCGCCCTTCGCGCAGGTCCCAGGACCGGACCGTGTTGTCCAAGCCGCCCGTCCAGAGCTTGGTGCCATCGTTAGAAATGTCAATGCAGCTGGCCCCGTCTGTGTGGCCCTGGAATTGCCTGAAGGTGTCAACATGGAGAAAAGTCCTTCAACAGTTAATTTTTAGGTGAACTCAGTTTAGAATTCCTCAGCCATCAATTTCATTACAGGCCCTATTGGTAGATTTCCTTTTGGTTTATTATATTTTCTATTATTCAAAGTAATAACAAAGCATATACATAGAGAGATTAAAGTTCAGTTGAGATGCTAAATCTCCTGCACGTTTTATTTTTGAACACTTAGGAAGTCCTCTTCAAATTACTCTTATGCTAAAAACAACTGAAACAACTGATGGAAGAAATTCTCCACCTGAATCAAAAGAAAACACAGCCACATGGAAATGAACTAATCCAAGATACAATCTGAGACCTATTCTGTCAGTGTGATGTGAAAGAAGGCGAGAATTTCAGAGGGTGTAAGGAGTCGTTTCCCTTCTAAAAGCTCTGGGGATGGGCACAGTGAACAGCAGAACAAATCCTGCCAGCGAGCAACAACGCAACTGTAGGAGGCTGTGCAGGATGAAAGGCCGTGCTCTCAAGTAAGGAGCGTGGAGAGCACCTCAGAGTGACTCAGCTGCCCCAGGGGCACGTAAAGCGTACGAAAGACACGGGGGCTGGGGCTTCGAAGCAGCTCCTCATAAGAGCCTTACCCAAAAGGGGAAAAAGTGATTAACTGTTTTGTTTTTGGAATCATTTATAGAGCTCCGTCTTGCAAAATATGTTACAGACGGACAGCAGGGGCCTCTTCTCCTTCCACCCTCCCCTGGACCTGTGGCCGGGCTCCACTACACCCTCTGCACACCCATTAGCAGATCACACCTCTGGCTTCCTGCTCTCTCCGGTGCTGACATCTGGAGACACACGTGTTTCAGGGCTTTTCCTATCAGTGCCGATCCTACACAACCTCATTTCTAAACAGACATAGTTATGTCTATCCATCCTGTAAGGTGGGACAACAGATTATCTAGATTATTTCAGGGTGAGGCGCACCCAACACAATGCCTGGGCCCAGGGTAAGAGCTCAATGATCATTTGTCGAAGGAAAGAACGTGTCAGATACACACAGCACCAAGGACAGCGCCACACACTGTGAACCTTCTCAGTGAGTACCTACTGACAACGATGGTTTGTTAGCACAGGTGGCAAACAAACTACATATGTCTAAGGAGCTCATGAGGTCACAGGCACCTTATGTGCATTAATTATGTAAAACTGACCTCCTGGGACTTCCCTCGTAGTGCAGTGGTTAAGAATCCGCCTGTCAATGCAGGGGACACGGGTTCGAACCCTGGTCCGGGAAGATCTCACATGCCGCGGTGCAACTAACCCCCTGTGCCACAACTACTGAAGCCTGTGTGCCTAGAGCCCGTGCTCCGCAACAAGAGAAGTCACCGCAATGAGAAGCCCGAGCGCTGCAACTAGAGAAAGCCCACGCACTGCAACAAGGACCCAACACAGCCAAAGATAAATACATAAATAAATTTATAAAAAAGAAAAATAAATAAAACCGACCTCCTATTTTAAAACCTGAATTGGTGATGCTTAGTATAATTTAAAAAAAAAAAAGAAAGAAAGAAAACAACCCCTCATCCGATAAAGTTCAAATGGTGCAGAAAACAAGATTTTACAGCATCTTAAAACGGCCCTATTCTTAACAATTTTTAGTAAGACAGTTATGTTTCATCTTTTTAAAAAGACACGCACACAGCTCTCTGGCACAGCACAGGTAAATCCAGTGCCCTGGTCAGGGAGCCTGCTGACCCACCTCACCAGCGTCTGGTTGTGCAGGTCCCACACGGCGATGTTGCCGTCGCTGCAGCATGAGAAGCAGACCTTGGAGTCGGGGCTGATGGCCAAGGCGTAGCAGGCGGGGGCCGAGGACGTCAGCTCTGCTTTGATGCGCGGGGTGGGAGCCGCCAGGTCCCAAATGGACAGGGTACTGGCTTCCCCTCCCACAATTAGGGTGCGACCATCAGGGAGCAATCGGCAGGAACGGATGTAGTTATCCCTGTTCTGTAGAGACAAGACCCATCAAGAGGTTATTCATGAGGAAAGGAAAACAGCATTGACATGAGAGCAAAAATCCATAAAAGTATTGTGTTCCCTCCTGGTTTCAATGAGCTATTTTCACTTATGACAATGATAAAGTAGATTAACGCTAGTAAATTACATGAAATTAAGGAAGTACTTAAACTTGATCTACAAAATTCAGTACTGAGATATTTAATCTTAATTAGCATGAAAACGCAAAGATCTAGACCCACTCTCGGCACCAGCAAATCAACCAGCCGCCTGAGTCATTTGCACATGCAGACGCAACAGCCCTCACAACCCTGGAGGAGCCACACCGGGAACTGGGTACACACGGCCTGGCTGCTGAAAGGCCCTCTTTCTGCTGCCAAACAAGTGTCAGGGAGTTAGAGACCTTGTGGTCCCTTCCGTTCGCCTGGCCCTGCGTTACCTGGCCAAGGGACAGCATGGGCTCGATTAAGCAGCACCAACTGGAGGCAAGGCTTGACCAAGGCGTGTTACGTGACAGAAAACACCACGTCCTCCCAGCTCGTGAGGTTATGGGAATCTTGTGCAGTCACCTTAAACTGACCTAGCATCGTGCTGCCGTGAAACATGCTACTGCTGGTCCGAGGATGAAAATCAAACTGAAATTTCCTAAATAACCCGAGGACGAATACCCATGAGACAGCTAATGGGGTAGCTAGTGTCTGCCACGTGAAGTATTAAGTTACTCTTGTCTCACAGTGTGACAGATTCTGATACTTGGGTGCACTCTCACAGAAACCATCGTGGGCTCGTAGTTTCCTTAAACTCCTTTATCAGATAGGAAAGCAAGGGGTCTGCCTGTTCCCATGCACTGGGCAGGGTGAATGAAAACTGCACTGGAGCAAGGGCCACACGTGAAGAACCGGATAAATCTACCTTAAGTAACTGAAAGAAGACACACCTTCTCGTCAGCGCTCCAAGTCAAACAGCACAAACCACTGAAGACAACCACCCGCTTGGGATCAATTCTGTGTGTTGCTGGTACATCCAGGTCCTATTTTCTGCATGAGGGCTTAAACCATGTTCATCCACGTTCACTCACCAGACAGTCGAGCTGAGAGACGGGGCTCTTGTTGCCGGGGTGGCTGATGTCCCAGACCTTGACGCAGCCCTTGCCGCCCGTGTACACATGTCGCGTGGGGTTGCTGATGGTCACCGCACACACCACCTCCCCGTGGTTCAGGGTGTTGATCTGGCGAGCGTGGCGGGGGATGCCGGGGCCAATGAGGGCGTCCGGGGGGAAGGGGACAGGCTGCATCTGACCGTCCGCAGTAACGTGGAAGGAGTATGCTCTAAGGCAGTGGCGAGGAGAAAAGATAGGAAAGGGAGAATGCAAAAAATGTTACTTAACTGATCACTGTAATGAGACGAGAAATAAAACATTTTCAGTGCTACGTATGATTTGCAAACAAGTCAAATTTACTGAATATGGTGGAAAGAACATAACTTTCAGAGCCACAGAGCTAAATCTATGATCAAATACCGCGTCAACTCTTTGCTGGCTGCTGTGTGACATCAGTAGTTACATAACCTCTCTGAACCTTACTTGATTCTGATCTTTAAAGTGGAGTGAAGGCTACCTACGCTTCTCAGAGAATTTAATAAGGTCACCAATGCCCAGCATAGTAATTACTTCTCCAGGGCACTCTACAAACTTGCACTGCCTTCTACTTCAGGTGATTCAGAAGCCTGTGATAAGATTTTAACCCACAGATCACTTCACTCCAATCAAGTGACTTACTAATGAAAATCTGTAAGCTAAAATTAGGAAGTTTTAAGGCGTTAAGAGGATCTAGGCCTAGAAGATACTGACATGGCATATGACCCACCAAAAAAATGAAAAAAAATTTTTGGATTAAGTCCCATCAGACTTGACAATAACAAATCCTAGTAATCTAATGCCCAGTGGAGTCAGAACCTAAAAAAGCATCCTGTGTGACTGCCCCAGAGGCCCACCTGGGAGTTCCTATCAGCAGCTCCAACTCCAGGCCATTTCCAGGGAAAACCCTCCAGTTGTGAAAGCATTTGGCTCTAAAATGCAACTTAAGTTAAAGCATCTCCCTCAACAGACACCTCTATGCTTAAGGCACTGAAGTCAGGGAACAGTCAGCAAGTGAGGCTGTTGGGATGCATGTTGGGTTTCAGGAGGCAGGAGATGTCGGTGGTAGGCAGGAGGGAGCAGGGCCTGCCTTGGGGAACCATCACGGGCAGTAGCCCACTTTGGAGATGATGTCATTGTCTCTGGCACTGAGCTTCAGAACGTGCTCTGTTTATGGGAAGAAGTTCATGAAAGACATACCAGGGGAAACACCTGTGGGCAGACAAAGGACAGGAGCTTGGACCTATCGGGGAAGTTTTAGAATCAAAACAGTTTACAGTTCCTTAATGCAAAAATCTACAGGCTAGCCACATGCATCAAAATTCAGCCCATTATTGAGGGGACATCATCAACAAAGTCCTAAATGTCCCCAGAAAGGATGCGGCTGTGGCAGATTTAGGGACCAGAGGGCAGAGGGCTTTCTCTCTCTCTGTAAATTACGCAGCGAAGTGGGTTAGAACTCGGCTGTAGAAGAGAAGGAGTATGTCGGACTGCTGAGGGGGAAGTGGTGGGAAGCTGGGAAGACAAGAGACATATTCCTGTGGTCGGAGCAACGGACTTGGAGACATGTTGGATGCGTGGCCTGGGAGAGAGAGATGCTGAGCAGGGCTCTCAGGCTCGGAACCCAGGTGGCTAGGTAGGCCACAATACATTAGTGAAGGTGACGGGGAAGCATAACCGAAGGGCACACACGTGGGGAGGTAAATGGTAAGGTTTTCTTCAACCTGAGGGAGGGCAGGTGAGAACCCAAACATCTCAACCAAAAGTTGAGCACTGTGATTCAGAAAAGAGTTCAGATCAGAAAGATCAATGTGTGCTCATCCACAAAGAAGTGATAGCTGAAGCTAAAGGAGCAGAAAAGAATCATCCTGGGGCAGATTATGTAATGAGTAGACTAGATGCAAAATTTAAGAAAATGCTTACAACATGTAGGGGACCTCCAGCAAGAGCGGTCAGAGAGGCAGATAATCAGGAGAGACAAGAACATGGAAAGGGGGAGCAGATGGTCAATCACGTATTTCTTGGCTTACCCCAGTGCAAGAAGCACTTGGGGATGCAACAGAAAGGACTGGGGATACAATAGAGAGAAAAAAAGCCACCTACTCCCTATTCTCCAAAAGTTACTTTCTGGGGGCTGGGGTAGGTGGCAGGTGGGCTGAGGGGCTGATTCATTAGTGAGATACTAACATATACAAAGATTAAAATGTCAGACGGTCAAGGCTATGAACAATGGACAGGCCATTGGACAAAGTGAGAAGAACAGGGAAATTCACGGCAGTGGGGCCGCAATATAAAGAACAGGTATTAATTTCCTCGGCCCAGAAAGGAAGATGGTAAAATGAAGGCCAGAGGGAGGCAGGATGCTTACACTATTCACTTAGTCAGAAAATATTTAGTAAATACCCAATATGAATCAGGTACTATCAGATGCTGGGGAATCAGAGGTGAATAAGATATTCAAGGTCCCTATCCTCCAGAGCCTACATCCTAGAAGGGAAAAGAGCTAATATATAAGCTGATAAATCAGTAACCTCCGACGGCAGTAAATGTGCGCGCGCGCGCTCTCTCTCTCTCTCTCTCTCTCTCTCTCACACACACACACACCCACACATACACACAGAGTTTCAGATCAAGGAGACAGACGGCGCAGCAAGGTCCGAGGCGGTGTGCAAGCTGAGAGCTGAGGGAAGGCCTAGTCTTGCACGCAGAGAGAAGGGAGGGCAGTCAATGCAAGTCTTAGAAGAAGCAGCAAGGGAGAAAGCCGGGGGCACTCAGGGGAGAGTGACAGGCTGGAGAGGGGTGCAGGGGCCATGTGAAAAAGGGCCTCGTAGGCTATGAGGCGGAGTTCGGCCTGTTATTCCGAGTGGAGTGGGAAGTCACTGGAGACTTGTGTGTGGGGGCAGTGAGCGCCATGATTCAGTTCATGTTTTCAAAGGATTGTTCTGGTTGTTGGGGGAAGCATGGATTGTAGGTGGCAGAATGGAAGAGGGAAAACTAGTCAGGGGGCTAGGGCAGCAAGCTAAGGGGAAGCTAGTAGCCAGGGCTTGAGAGACAGTTAGAAAGCTGGGAATGCATCTGCAATTCAAGATTTCTCTGGGTAGAGGCAGAGAAGGCTGTACTGGATGGCATGCGTGGATCCTGGAGGTGACAGTGAGGGCTGATGACAAGGTCTTCTTTGGGGTCTATAAGTAGGTAACTGAAGTCGAGAAGGGCAGAGGTTCACTAGAGGTGATGTGGCCCAAGCCCTGAGACGATGTTACTGGGGGCCTGACCTTGTGAACAGCAGTGACACCCAGGATGATGGCAGGCTCTGAGTGGACCAAGTGTCAAGTTTTTAATTAACTGGGAAATCTCCCAACAAGGCTGAGGAGCGGGTAGAGACCCAGGGCACAGGCCTGAAAGGGGGTGGGTTTTCACAAGAAGGTGGAATGGGTTCAGTTCCGGAAGAGACTGGAAAGGTACAGGAGGTGGGGGAGGGAATCAACCATAGCCTGTATCAGCCCTGCCACTGGCTCCGACTGCTGATGTGAAGTGAATGAAAGGGCACCCTTTGGAGGGCTGCAGGTGAAGGGGTCCCCTCGGGAGAGAGCCAGGCATCCGTTCAGGCAGCAATGCTTGTAGAGAAAGGCTGAAATTCTGAGGGATGACAACGGAGACAAAGGCTAACTGATTTAGCAATTAAGAGGTCACGACGACTAAATCTTAAAGAAAGAAAAAGGAAGATTATTCCAAGTTTAGAGATGGTGTTATACATTCTTAATGATAATCTCCTTGAAAAGGCATCCCTTCTCTCCCCTCTAGAATAACTGAATGGTTTTTAAAGAGCCTTGAGAATTTAAAATAGTTAAGAAATCAGGCACACCATTTCTCTTGAGGTTTTCAATATGACATTATTCAACTCAACCACAACCACTCTGTGAGCACCTACTATGTTCCGGGAACTCCCTTATTAAGAATTTCAAGAGCCTAATTGCATTAAGGATATAATGTAGCCCCGTGTTTACTATTTATATAAGACACTCAAAACTGGAAGAAAGAAAGCTCTAGTACATACCTATCATCAGATTTCAACAAACTCTTTGATGTGTAGCTAGCAGAGAGTACTGGAATGGGTAATGAAAGCCAACCTTCCTAGAAATTAGGGAGGCCCAGGCTTGAAAACCTTTTCTTTTTCTACCTAATTAAATGCATCAATACTCCTTACCCACATATTCTGATTTAGATGTCATGCTGAGATACAGTATCAGGTAAGACACCTGCCTTGCCCATAAGTGGCTTGTAATCTAGGAAGCATGATGAGAAAAGTACAGAAGTGATTACAATACCAGGTGCAAGATGGAAAGGATGAAGTTCTGTGGTGGTTCAAAAACCAAAAATAAAGCTTATGTTTCATGAGAGACATGGTACTGGAGATGGGTTTTGGAGAATGGAAGGATTTTTCCAAAGAGGGAGGAAGATGGAAAAACCATTCCAGGTGGAGGGAGCAGCTCTAAAAGAAGAGGTAAAATGATCTGGGCAAGTCCTGGATTGGTTTTAATTGGGGAATTCACTTATTCAACAATGACCCAACACAGTAAGCTTGAAGGAGCTGGCCCGAGTACGGCCTGATAAAATACGCCGCGCGCGCACGCGCGCGCACACACACACACACACACACACACACACACACACACACAATGTATAAAAGGGAGGGCCTAGAAGGCCAGCCTGAGAATTTCACAAACAGAATTTACTAAAGAGTGTTTTTAGGAGGAGGAGGAGTGGGACATTACTGGGGCAAAGCCACTCACAGAATAAATTTGGTAGCAAGGAGCACAATGGATAGGAGGAATAAGAGACAATTATTTGAGTAAATCTAGACGAGAGGCAATGGGGGACCTGAACTAGGCAAGGAGAAGCATGACACACTAGAAGCAACTGGACATGAAACTGTGTAGGACTCAACTAACGAGATGTGAGGAAGAAGCCAATAATAACTGAGTTTCTGAGCTCAGGGAACAAGGAACAGAGTACTCTGAAAACCAGGCAATCGGGAGGAACATCTAGTCTGGGGAAGCATTTTGTGAATATGATGAGTTTGTAGTGCAAGTAATACACACTCAAGATGCCTAGCTGAGATGCCCAACAAAGAACTAAAAATACGGGGCTGGAAGGAATAGGGGCAGGGAGACAGAGAAATTCTCTCTCGGGAGG